TTTGAGAGAGAGAGAGTGCACAAATGGGAGCAGCAGAGAGATAGGGAGACACAGAATCCGAAGCAGACTCCAGGCTCCTAGCTGTCAGCACAGAGCCCAGTGAGGGGCTTGAACTCACCAAACATGAGATCATGACCTGAGCTGAAGTTGGATGCTTGACCGACTGAGCCACCCAGGTTCCCCGTCACACATACATTTTTTAATGTAGCTCATATGCTCTTCTCTAACATGAGGATGCTCTGTTTATTTGCTGAAGGAGGCTTTTCAGAACTACATGTGTATTTTGAGAGCCAGTGCTTCTGGAATAGCCTTATCTGGTGCCTGCAGTCCTTGGCTTGAGCCTGTTCCCCTGCCTAGTGTGACCTGCCTTGATTGCTAACCTCTACTCCTTCACTAGCCCTTGCCACTCAAACTGCAACTGGAGAGGGTGGCCCCATCTGAGAGCTGGTGGACATCTCACACCCTCAGGTCAGAATTGACACATCAATGCATGCCAACACTCCAAAGTATGGCTTTAAAACCCATGCAAGTCCCCTGGGTTGGGCATTTAGTAGATGCTCAGTGAAGCTGTTTCCTTGTTTTGTCACCTTCCTATGCACCTGGTGCCTTCTCTGAGTTTTTGCAGCACTATCTGTAGTCCTCTGAAATCATTAACAGGTTGACACGTGACCATTGGCTTATAATTGATCTCTTCCAGGGTTCTCGATCAGAATCACTTTTTGTGCCCCCACTTCAGACCTGCTGAATTAGAATCTTTGAGGGTGGGACTAACATTTATATTTTTTTCCAACTCCCTGGTTGTTCTTTGTAACCAAAGTTGGAGAGCCAAGAGACCCCCTGTTGGCCTGTGGAGATCTCTCAAGGCAATTTGAGGGTTAACAGTGAGACACCTGCCTCAGGTGATGGTGAAGTGGGTTTTATTCATTTAACAAAAATGTACTGAGAGCTAATTAGATTGTAGGTGTTTTGCAAAAACCTAAAAATAGCACAGCATATAAACACATCATAAAAACAGCCATACAATCAAGTATTTGTAACATGCATTCATAGTTTAAAAAGCACTCTTCCATTTGTCATCTTAACAACTCAGTGTTGCTGGAATCAAGACTCAGAGCTAGGACTTCATGCTTCTGGTCTGGGCTACCCTTGCGCTCCTATCCTGTTCCATTGATAGAGGAAGGGGAAGCAGGCAGCAAAGGAGGGTTGTCTGCATGGGGAGCTGTGAATGGCCTCACAGAGGACAAGCAGTAGCTCATCTCTAATTAGGGGAGAAGACAGAAGATGGGATGAGGCATTTTAGTCCCACAGTTCAGACTGTTTGGAGGGCCCCCACAAGGCTGAAATAGCTGCACTGTGGCCATTCAGAGCATCCTAGGGATGGGAAAGTGACTCTCCTCAGGAGAGGGGAATTTAGGCCACAGATGGAGACAGCAGAATGCTGTGTAGGGAGGTTGTATAGGGAAACAGTGACTTGCCTGAAAGGTATCTAAAACAAGCTATAAAAATATAATGGGGATACCATTCTCCGCATTTCACTGGGCTCATGAAAGTCCATAGTTTAGCCCTGGTGTCTGGAGAAACCCCAACAAATCCATCTTTCTTTAATAAACTTTTAGCCCAGAATAACCCTAAATTGTATCCTCTAAAACCTCTTATTGTCCCATCGTGTTGCCCCTAATTGATCAGTGAGCCTTTTCCCACCACCTCCAAAGTGCCCATTAGCTGATTCTAACCTGCATTACCCAGAATGGGGCAGCAACCAGGGGAAGGACTTGGAATATCTACATCCATAGTCCATGTGTGCATGATAATCACTAGTTCACCAAATTTCACAGCAAATTGTAGTAACTGGGTCCTGAAGGCATTAGCAGAATTCTGTCATGGATGGCAATGGAGAGGGTTTTCCAGTCATGACATCAGTGTTTGCCAAAGTCAAATTAAGAACATGATCAGTCATATTTAGTCCTGGAGAACTGAGACAGGAAAAGTATCCATCACATTCATGTACCTCTTTCCAAACCACAGCTAGGGCTGGATCCCCATGCAAACATGCTAAGTGAGCCAGTGGCTTTATCTTCTGCTCACAACACCCTACTGTGGCACAGCCCGTGGCTCCAGGGCTTTCTGTTCCGTGGCAGTGCCTTGAAAGAGGGTGGTTTTAGATCAAACCTCTTCCCTGATCACAAGGCAGAAGGACACCACTATAGGGACCACAAGAGCTGTCATGCTGGCTGACAACTGGACCCTGGTCACTTCCTTTTATTTTTTTAAGCTGCTGGGTGTCTCAGGAAGGGCCATGGTCTCAACCCTGAAACTTCTAAGAGGTGGCACACCACTTGCCCTGGGCATGTCCTTGTTCTGTCTCCTTCCACCTTTAATTCATATGTAGAAGAAGCCAGGGACACTGGCTCTGAATATAGGTGAGGTAGATGGATATGGTGTAGCCAACACCTGTCCCAGGGGCTTGGGGACAGTCACTGTGAAAACGCTTTCCCACATGGAGCCCCTTTGACCGTGACATTGGCCGATATCTCTCAGGCAGGTGCTCCCCCCCTGGGCATGTGCACCCCGACTTACAGATTGTTGGCAGGACCCTCTGGCCATGCTGCCCCTGACAATCCAGCGTCATGGCCCAGAGGGCCTGTCCCTGCACCGGTGCCTTCACTGTCAAATTGCTTCACACATGTTTGCTGGCCAAGTGTCCAGGCTTCACACTCTGGTCCCGGAAGACCACACAGCCTGATTGATGCCAGGGCTGGCCTACACCCTTCCCTGTGGTCTCTAAGAGGTAGGCCCAGCCCAAAACAGCAGCAGAGAAGGCAGGTTGGCCCATGACCCTTCAGGGACTGCAGCCTGTGCCAGGCAGTGGCTCCTGTTCCCTCAGGGCATTGGCCGGACTACAGATCCATTTCATGCTGTGCATAATTTTATATAACTGCATGTGCTTATATATGCATACAATTAAACTACTCGAAGTTGTACAGTGTTCAGCTTCACCATCCCATTGGATTAATAGCTGGAATGTGAGCATTTGATAGCATGTGGCTTTTCTGATACTTGACCTAGTAGTGTCTGGGTGTTTAGTTTGGGTGTCCACATGACTCCCTAGACTCAGTGGGCAGGCTCACACTTCTGGAGCCTCAGGAGCCCCAGCTACTTAGGAGACAGGGATGCCTCTGAGCCAGCTGTGTGGCACCCCCTCGTGGCCAAACTAGTGAAGCTATCCTAAGTGTCGCAAGAACTTCATGGATGTTGAAGCAGGACAGAGCTGGGAAACATAAACAGAGGGCTGCCCTTTGCTGCATTACCTCACACCCACCTGCTCCCCACCAGCCTGGGGCTCACCCATGCCAGCAATTCCTCAACATGGAGAGTCTTCAGGACATCTACTCCCCTTCTTTCTGTCAATATCAGTGCTAACAATAGAGAAAAAACATGGACTTCTTCATACTCAAGTGTTATTGACTTAGCTTAAGGATATGCATATCCCTAATATGTGAATTCTAAGAAGATTTCAGCACCCCTGTGGTGATAGGTGATGCTGAAATCATCCCCCAGTAGCTTCTAACCCTGCAGACAGGGAAGGTGAGAAGAGGAAATCTGCCATCTATCCACTTCAGGGTCTTCTGAGCCCTGTAACCAAAGCAGACTTTTTGATGACCATCACTAACTCAGTGGCTATAGTTTCAGACTTCTGTGTGCTGCCATTGTTTTATGCCATGTGTCCCTGCTACATAATTTCCATTGAACAGTAAAAAACTGAACTCTCTTAAAGCCATAAAAATGGTCAGATTTCAAGGCAAGAATGTTGTTCTAAAAGTACCTCTGCATGTACACACTTTCTCTTTCACACACAGACCTCTCTAGATAGCAGCATTTCACATGCTTCCTTATATGCTTCCATGAAATCAGTACAGGCTAAGGGAGGCTGAGGTGCCCCTTTACTGACAGCAATATGCAGAATTCAGGGTAGGCATGGTGGCTGGTCCAAGCCACCCAAGGACACTGCCTAGATCTTTCTCTGCATCTGTGTCACCACCCCACCCTGGCTCTCATTTATGTATTGAGAGCCTGATCTGAGCCCCCAAGGTGTGAAACTAAGGAGAGAAACTCCTTCAGGGCCAAGAGAGTACTCAGTGGGGCCTCTGATGAAGACCCTGTCCTGGTCGTGCCGCTGGTGTGGGGTGTATGGCGGGGAGTCTTCCATGAGAACTGGCAGTGAGCTATGGAGCAGGAGCAGTGTCTACACATCCTAGCAGGAGAGCATATCAATAGCCTCATGATTATAGGGCCAATTCTCCTGATTATCTCATTAGTTTTGCGTGTTAGTAGCCAAGACCTGAATGTTGTCACATCCTGTAATAGCCCTTTCTCTTAAGATAAGGAAACCACCTTCCTGCTGCTGATTGAAGCAGTTTTATAAGGGTGTTTCCCACTGAGAGAATTTAGAGCATGAGGCAAAGTTGCCCCCATGGGGGGCTGCCCTTAGCTCTGGGACCTCAGCTCTGGTCCTCCCTGCCTGCAGATTACTTTCTCAGGGAATATATGTGATGTACGTGTGTGTGTGTGCCCCCCCCCACACACACACACACACACTGCAGGTTTCCTGTGTGGTATAAACAGATTTTTTCAGAGGAAAGTTTGAATACAGTGCTGCCCAGGATTTCAAAATAAAGCTGTGTCTAGGATACATGAGCTTTGGTTCTATAAACTTGGGAGGCTGTGGGAACTAATCTCAGGAAAGCTAATGTAGAATAATTACACACCCCTCTCAGGTAAAGAGAGACCAGTTATGTTGACTGCTGGCTCCTTGGACACAGCAAGTGAAGTTGCCAGTCTGGGATGGTCCTGTGATAGCAAGGGGGTGTGTTGTCAGGAGGGCCCCCCCCCAATTCGCGCAGCACTCTCTCTCAAGTTTCCAAATAAGATTATACTTCCCTCCCCCATCACTAACAATCCAGTACTAACCCACTGGATTTCAATTCTGTGTGTCTTTCTAGAAAGAGAAGAAGAGTGGGCTGCTGAAGCTTCTCGCCGGGGCGTCTACCAAGAAGAAATCTCGCTCCCCACCATCCATCTCTCCGACCCATGATGCCCTGGTGGCAGTGGACACCTCACTCCAGGGTGCAGTGGGTCCTGAAGTGTCCTCACTGTCCATGCATGGCAGGGCAGGGTCTTGCCCCATAGAAAGCGAGATGCGGGGCGCAGTGGGGATGGAGCCACTGCACAGAAAGGCGGGCTCCTTGGATCTGAACTTCTCCTCATCTCCCTCCAGGCAAGCACCTCTCTCCATGGCTGCCATCCGTCCCGAGCCCAAGCCTTTGTCCAGGGAGAGGTAAGGGGGGAGGGTGGGCTTATATCCTCTAGGGCCTTGGTGTGGGCTGGTCTCTAAGATTGAAGCCATTTTGGGGGAACAGTGACAATGGAGATTTTCTGAGGATTAAATTTATCAAATGTCCCTCTTACACACATCTACTCAGTTCCTGAGCTTGGATGGTGAGAATCAGATAAAAGGCATTTGGGGGGCGTCTAGGTGGCCTAGTCGGTTGAGCATCCCACTTTGGATCAGATCATGATCTCACAGTTCATGAGTTTGAGCTCCACATTGGGCTCTGTCGCCCCACATCGGGCTCTGTGTTGACAGGTTTGAGCCTGGAGCCTGCTTTGGATTCTGCTTCTCCCTCTCTCTCTCTGCTCCTCCCCTGCTCTCTCTCTCTTTCTCTCTCTCTCTCTCTCCCTCTCTCTCTCTCCCTCTCTCTCTCTCTCCCCCTCTCTCTCTCTCTCTCAAAAATAAAAAGTAAACATTATAAAAAGATAAAAAGCATTTGGGGATGAAAAGGAGTATATTTCATGTTCTGAATCCATCTGGGTCCTGAGTTTGGGATTTGCAAGGGATTCATCAGGAAATTTGGCAAAACTGATGGGGCACTGAGCCCAGAGAGTGAGGAATGATGTTAGTGAGAGGACTGTGTCCCCTCAACCCTGTGGGAAACCTTTAGTGGACTCCTGGACTAAATCTCATGGCCTGTGTGCCTCACCCAGGAGGCAGCTTTTTTTGAGGCTGAGCCCCCTCTGACACCTTAGAATTATAAAGCATTACCCCCAGATTTGCTTCGAGGTATATAGTCTATTGGGTTGGACCATACAAAATTGACAGCATTCATTTGTGGGGTTTTTTTTTACCACAACCAGAAATTTCATAGAGTTCAGCCTAGAGTTATACTGAGCAGTAAACTGAGTCCACAGAGGGCCCTTACGTACTTGAATTTTATAAGAGGCTGGCATCTTGCTCAGCTGATGGGCCCATTTGAGTTAGTCCTTAAAGGGCTTCAAATGAGGGATGGAAGACCCTGCAGTGAGAGGGGATGGTGTCCAATCAGGATAGTATGGAAGCACTTTCCCTTCCATGTGCCTTCTTGTTGGAACACTGCTTAAATAGTAAACATGCGAGCAGTCTCCTGAGAAACCAGCCCTGGCACCCTTCCCCACCAGCTTTTCCCCATGGGCCCCAGTGCTGAATTCTGAGAAAGCCCCCACTGTCCTGAGCACCTGCTAACCCCCAATGCCAAGGCAGGGCTACTTAAGCTCTATCTAGATGGGAGTGACACACCTTTGGTCAAGACCTGGATAGTAAATTCTGCAGACACCGCAGGTCATTCAGTCTCTTTCAGAACTCTCACCTCTGCTGTGCCAGCATGAAGGCAGCCATAGACAATACAGAAACGATGGGCATGGGCGTTCCAATAAAATTCTACTTATGGACACCAACATTTAAATTTAATTTAATTTTCTTGTGTCATGAAATATTTTTCTTATTTTGATTTTTTTTTTCAACGGTTTGTGAACTGTTTCAACTTATTTGTGTCTCAGACCATATAAAATAAGCTGCAGGCCAGTTTGTCAAGGCATATCCAGATGATGGGCTTTGGTGCTGGGCTGACATTGTGGTGTTGAGATCCAGCACCACTGAGAGAACAGTCTCACCAGGCAGTGTAGGAACCATGGGGGCTGGTTATGGATTTCCGATAAGCACATGTAGTGTCAGTCCATATTTACACCTGTTTTTAGAAAGACAGCTCTGTGCTCTGTGCAGGGGTGAGATTCAGACATTCATCAGTCAGTATGGACCTGGGCCATAACCACTCAGAATGGCAATGCTGCATATGTAGCTTAGCATCTGCTGGCATCGTTTTAGGTGCCTTGGGTGTGTTACCTCAGCCAATCCTTCCAAGAACCCTACAAATTCAGTATCCCCATCTTCCTGAAAGGCTAGGTAACTTGCTTGAGATCACACAGCTAAAAAGTAACCAGCCAAGCCAGAGATTGAACTCAAGGCTTTCCAGCCACAGAGCCTGGTCTCTGACCCACTTTGAGGAGCGTGGTCAGCAGCTGCCCAATGTACAACTTGCCCACAAAGGGATCTGGGTGTCTCTGGCTTCAAAATAGTATGGACCATGTCACAGCCTTGCCAGGATATCAGCATCTGCTTCTGGAGACTCAGCCGTTGATCACCACCCTGTTGCCGGTTCAAGGTACACATCCTGTCCAAACTCAGTCACAGTAGGATCTGTTACTATGAGGTGCATTCCCCACAGCAAACCCCAGGCCCTAAGGAGATTAGGTCACACCTCAAGTCACCTCACCTCACCTCACACACACACACATACACACACACCACTACCACCACCACACCCATACCACACACCACACACACCAAATACACATGACACCACATCACACATGCACATATAGCACATTCCACACAGACACACTCACACACACCCTCAGACATACATACATGCATCACATATACCACATATCTCACACAAATACCACACACCTCATACCACACCACACACATATACACACCACACATACCACATACACACTTCACGCACATCTCACACAAATACCACACACACACACCAAACATACTACATCACAAATGCACACATACCACATATCACACATACACACACCACACACCTCAAACCAGACCATACACATATACACACCACACACACACCTCACACACACACCACATACCACAGATACCTCACGTCTCACACAAACACCATACACACACACACACACACACACACACACACACACACTTTATAATTTTTCCTCCATTTCCCTCAAAGGAGCCTCCTCCAACTTTGTGTAACTCTTTCATGTCAGAACTTCATCCTTCCATAAGACCAACCCCCAGATGCCTATGATTTCTCAATGTGATTCCCAGTCCCTTTGCCCCAGGTAACAAAGTTGGTGGTTCCTGAGAATAGACTGAGACGTTTCAAAGCTGCTCTCATGTCTCCCTTAAGTTTCTGTTCTCCCTAGATCCCTCAGCTTCCAGACTCCTTCATAAAAGGTCTTAAAAGACCCTGTTCTACTAAACCATGGAAGTCTATGATTAACTAGAAAGATCAGAGAATTAGTCTCATTCTGTGAATATTCCATCTAATCAGGGCTTATTGTACCCAGAGACTCTTGGCACCCTGCTTGTCCCCCTCACTCTGTGCAGCTCATTAGTGATAAGAGTTTTCAAAATACAGCCTGAAACAAAACTGCTGCCTAATGAGCCCCCAAATGCCCCCTTCGTTCACCCTGTGCAGCCTGTAGGCCGCCTTGTATCCTGGGGAGCCCCAGAAGTGGAGCAAGAGTGGAACAATGGAAAGGCTTAGTCTTCAGGCTGGGACAACTCCAGAAAGCACTTGGCCTTGGGCCCCGAAGGCTTGTGAATAAAATTTAGCTCACAGCTGGAAGGGAGCAGCTGTGACAGGAATCCCTGCTGTGGAGGCCCTGGGCACTCACTCGCAGGCCACATATCTGCAGAGTGCCTGCTGTGTGCAAGGCCACTTTACTGTCTGAAGGGGGGAGAACAGCAAAGGGCAGGTGGGGCTCAGACTCAGGCTTCCACCACCAGCACACTGAGGAGGGGGCATCTCTCACCTGGAGTGGCTGGGCTCCAGGTACTACAAGGGTATCTCCTGCATGTTCTGAGTGTCTCCTGTGTACAGACTCCCTCAGAGATAACAGTTTCCCTCCTGAGGATTCCAGAAGACACTGGGAGCTTCTCTCCTAACTGCTCCTGGAGGAAGGAAGCTTGGGCTAAACGAGCCTGCCCAGGGGAGTGAACCATGGAGAACTACCCCAGGTCTAGTTGGCCAGGCCTGCACGTCAGCTCACTAGAGGCAGGTCCAGCTCTCAGGAGATCTGTAGGAGCTAAACTCACAGGCCTGATGTGTAAACCAGAGTGCCAAATACTAATCCTTCCTCAGGAACCTAATTCTTGGACCATCTGGACATATTATGCCCTATGGACAATGTATTCAGGGACCCACATTTCTGGAGGTTACTTGGGGAACTCATAATAGCAGTGTAGTTATGGGATCTGGTGACACTGTCTAATGTCCTGTCTCCCCAGCAGGGATATGCCAACCCTGACTCTGGGCAGGTCTGGCTGAGTTCTTGGACCAGCCACCCCATGCCCATACTCTGGATGCCCACCTCTGGCTCTCTTGTACCTCAGGGAAGTTGCAGAGTGGCTCTGAAAAACTAGCACACTTACCTCTTATGATCCATTCACACACTCTGTCTATTTATCCTCTCCTCTTACTGGCTTGTGAGTTTGGCTTTATTCGGATTTAAATGTTTTTTGACTTTGATCTATTATGTGTCATGGTAGGCAGAACGGTGGCTTCCCAAAAATGTCTGTGCCTGATCCCCTGAACTATGAATGTCCCCTTACATGGCCTTGAGGAGTGAAGGCAGCAGGCAGGATAGAGGTTGTTAACCAGCTGACATTAAAATGGAGAGATTATCCTGGATTATCTAGGCAGGCCCAGTGTGACCACAGAGTCCCTATAAGGAGAAGAGAAAGGCAGCAGAAAGGGTCAAAGTGATGCAGTGTGAGGACTCAACTGGCCAATGCTGGCTTTGAAAATGGAGGAAGGGGCACTAGCCAGGAATGCAGACAGCTTCTAGGGGCTAGCTGCAAAAGGCAGGGGAGTGCATTACCCCCTAGGACCTCCAGAAGGAGTGTACCCTTGTAACTGCCTTGAATATCTGACTTAAAGAACTGGGAGATGAGAAATTATGCCACTAAGTTTGTGGAAATTTTTTACAGCAGCAACAAGCTGTTAATACACGTACTGATATTGCAGCTTAGTTTTAGGGGGTATAGACATACTCTTATTTCCAAGTTCCTAGAGGGAAACTGCTCCATGATGATAACATCCACTATCTCAGGGGCCACTTGCCCTCAGTAGCACTGAAGCAAATGCTCTGAAAAGCCTGCCACTCGGAGAGCCTGACGGTGACCCCTGTTGTCAGGAGGGGAGCAGATGACACAAGAGGAAAACACACCAAACCTCACACATAAAGCTAATTGCAATGTGCAGTGGTAAGAATTCATTCTGATTTTGAGCCTTTTGATTTCCTGCATCTTATGTCTGAAAATTAGCTGTGGGTGACATAACCTTAACTCAGCACAGCGCAGTCTCTTATGATTTATGATGCCACAGTCATAACACAGGAGTAGCTGCTGTCCTTAACTGTTCATTTGGCCCTTTGTGTCTATAACAGGGAGTATCAATTACTTTCATGCAGCAGGAAAAATAGCTCAGAGTCTTGGAATGATCTGGACAGGAACTTTAAATGCTTGACTCTTATACATTAGGCCCACATCATCCATCTGGGCTCATTAAATCATTGAATTACTCAGAAGCACCAAATTACTTTTTTTTCTAGCCACTTACATTTTCAGAGTTGCTTGTTTGTTTCACATCTGGCAGTTGAGGCAAAAGCCAAAACTTGTGTTTGAAGTCTGAGAAATCATCTCACTCTTTGCCTTTTCTTCCTCAGGGAAGAGAAGGAGGCAGGTGTTTGGAGAAAAGGGGAAGGGTGGCAGAGAGCCACAGGTAGGGCCGGTGCTGGTCTCTGCAGACACACACACAGCCTGAGTGCCAGATGTGGGGGAACTGATCTCACAGACTATTCCTGCCTCCCCAGGGCCATCTGTCATCAAGGAATGGCCAGCAGGCAGCCGTTTGCAGAGATTCGGGGCTGAGAGGAGGGCAAGAAGCATACTGTCTTTTCTCTCCTCCTTTATACCCCCAAAGCCAGCATCTGGAGTCCAGAGACAGTTGAGAACTGGCCCAACCATCCTATAGCTGCAGCCCTTCCAAAGCGCTCCGTGAGCCTGGCCAGTAGGAACCTTGCTTGCCTGCCAAGTCAGCCTCAGGAGCTACTTTGCTCTCTGCCCCCTGGTCTCACAGCCTGGAACAAACTGGGACCGTGAGCTCCTCAGAGTGGAGTCCGGGTCTTTTCTGCTTGGGTGTCATCCCTCAGCCTCCAGAGCACTTGCTGCAGGTGCCCCAAACCATGGCTTCCCTGTCCTGACTTTGATGGACCAGTGCCTCAGGCCCTCTGAGCAGGTGGTTGAAGGAGAATGAAGACTTGCCCAGAGCTTTCACCTCAATTCTCAGACAGCAGCAAATTAAACATTTGCCCCCAGAACTTGATGAAAATTCATACTTCTGGCCCCTTTCCCAGAGTTTCATCAAGTAGGTCCAGGATAGAGCCAGGACTCTGACCTAGAGGTCCTGAAGTCTATGGCCACATTTGAAGAAATGCTGACATAGGAACTCTTTTGTGTTATAATGTTCTGGTTTCTCCGAAAGCAGAATATACAGGTCAGAGGCTCCACATTTAAAGCCCCTTGAGGGTCCTCAGAACACCCAGATGCTGGGACACCTGGATGATCTCTTTCAGGGGCCATTTGTGTGGCCGTGGCTTATGGGAGAGGCAGGACCAAGAGGACAGTCCTTCCCAGCCGACAGCCCAAGGAAGACTGAGGGAAAAGGAATATCCCACCTTCCTGCCCCAGCTAATGGGCCAGGACCACGCCCAGGCACTGCCAGGGAGGGGAGCAGCAGGACAGTGGCTCCTGGGGGTGTTCCCTCCAGTCCAGGTCAGGTCCGGGGCCTCTGAGGCCCCACATTGCCAACCACACAGTACATGGTTCCTCCCCAGCTCATCTCCTATAAATGGATGACCCAGTCCCCTAAGGTCATTGGTCATCCTGCTCCTAGGCCATTAGTCTGGCCAATGATCCCCTCCTGTGGCCAGTGGCTGATGGCAGGAGTTGAAGTCTACACTGTGGGCTGGGGGGAGGTACTGTTTGCTGTGGAGCTGCAGGCCCAGATACACACATCACCCGTCCTCTCCATGCCAGCCACCGCCAGCCGCTGGCACCTCTGCTCCTCCACCTGCCCAGTTACCTCGGCTCCCCGGCAGCTCCACCTGACTGACAGTGCCACCCCAGGTCTCCAGGCACCATCCTGCATGTTTGAACAGTGCTCCTGTATGCGGGGCTTGTTCTAGACACTGGGCACATGGCAGGGAGCACTGGGTAACAGTTGCTGCTCTGGGGGTTTGCGCACCATCATGGGAGACCTGAGCTAAGCACTAAGCACGGTGAATGGGGCCCAGCTGGCTTGTGGAAGGCAGGAGAGCTCCAGAGAGAGCATCAGGGAAGGGGCAGGCAAGAGCAGCCCAGGCAAGGGAGACCTGAGCTGGGAGAGGTGCTAAGATAAGCCAGTTCAGGTGCTAAGATAAGATTTTTGGAGCACATTTAAAAAAGGATGACCATTTTACCATACAAGGTCCAGAACACTTTCACACATCATGTGAGACATCCACCTAAGAGGCATTCCCCACCCTCCCTCTTCCTCAAAGAAGCTGACACTCGGGAGGTCAGGACACCTAGCCTGGTGTCATGCAGCCAGGACACGACAGAACTGAGGACACACCAAATGTCCCACCCATCCCCAGTGCCTGCACCAAAACGGAAGTGGCCATCCTAGGCCCCACCCCAGGGGAGGCCGCAGTCCAAGATGGGCTGGAGGGAGAGACTGCCTCTCAGGCAGAAATGTTCCAGCTGCATAGATCCGGCTCTAAAAGGACACGACGGGGAAATGATTTTTTAATTTTAATTAAAAAATGAAAAGGTTGTGTAAAAATTAAAATCAAAGTAGACATTTTTAAAAGTGGGGGAAGTAGCCCCAAATTATAAGAATTACACCAGATGGGGAAAGGAAAGGTGAGCAAAGAGAGAGACATTGCAAGCAGGACCTGGCAGTCATCTTCCAGCCTAGAGTCAGGCTCACCCAATGTGGTGTCTGTTTCCCCTCCAGGTATCGCGTGGTGGTCTCGTACCCTCCCCAGAGTGAGGCAGAGATTGAGCTGAAGGAAGGTGACATTGTCTTTGTGCACAAGAAGCGTGAGGACGGCTGGTACAAGGGGACCCTGCAGAGGAACGGCCGCACCGGTCTCTTCCCAGGAAGCTTTGTAGAGAGCTTCTGAAGACATGCTCTACACATTCCACTCCCCAGACAAAGGCTCTCTGGGATCCCTAGGACACAAGAGAAAATCAAGGCTGTCCTGAGGGCCCCAGGTCCCTTTCAAGGCTCCTGGCAGGGCCACCCTGGATGGGGGTGGGAGCTCACAACTCCCAACCAAGAGCACACCCTGGGATTGTTCTCTGACAAAATGCTTCCCTCTGCGTAAACTGTAAAGAAATATCTTTGGAAAGAGAAGCTGCTGATGCGGGTTGATTTGCTCTGTGACTTACTGCTAAGCTGCAGCATTCTTGTTTGCTGCCTATGCAAGGCCGGAAGCTGCAGAAGGGCTGCGGGGGTTGGGCGGTGGGCATGGCGCCCAGGGCATTTGGAGAATGTTTTTATGGGTTGCCCTGGGCTTCTTGGCGGGGGGGGGGGGGGGGGGGGGGGGTCCAGATTGCTCCATCACCTCTCTATATACCTCAGTCACCTACCACCTGGCTACTCAGCAATGGTGTTCCTGGCCCAGGGCCTTCGCTGGGTCCCCAGAGTCCCTGGGGAAGCCCAGCACGCAGCTCCTGTTGGAGGCGCCAGATCGCACTTGGCTTTGTTTCCTGCCCTTATTATAAGCCACATGTTTCGTTTTGCCACCACTGTCCCTTTGCATTGCTTCTTTCTTACAACATCTTTTTAAAGTAAAACTGTTAGACTTTCTATATTTCTAATAGGTCATACATTGCCTATTTTTCATACATCTGGTGCTGCCTTTTTGTAAAACCAATAATGACTTGGTTGAACTTGAAAGAAAAAATGTCTGAGATGATAATCAAGTGGGCAGAATTTTTATATGTACCGTGTGAATTTTGGAAAACTCTGAAAAGCCCACGTACTCAATATCAGCATTGGCTACTGCTCCATGGATAAGAGGGAATCCATTTAAGTGGTTGGAGGGAGTTTAGAAAAAGCCAATTTCTTTAAACCCTTACCAAAGCCCCATGCTATGTCTAGACAGTGGTAATTATTATTCAAGAACTGGAAACATTTCAAGGAAGGGTCACTATAATTGCCTTTTGTGTGGCAGTAAAAAGAACATGAAGGTCAACCCCAGCCTAGGAAGGCAGAATTTTCCTTGTATTGCTTTAGAGAAAATGACTACAATTAGCATTATCAAAATATGATTTCTTGCTACTGAAATGTGTAGTTTTTAACCACAATTCAGATTTACCACCCTGTGATGGTTTTGTCTTTTTTTTTAAATAAATGTTTCCCTATCAGGCAGTACAAATGTTGGTCTAGAGACTGGAAGTACAATGAGGAAAACAAGGGATTTGAGGCATTGCTGCAGATATGCAGAATTCAAGGGAGCTGGGAGAAGAAAGAGGAGGAAGTGGCACCTTTGATCCTAGGATCTTATCCTGGGTGGGGTCCACTGAGGCCTCTACACAAGCCCAGCAGCCCAGAGCTCCCACAGACACAAACTGGAGAAGCCCAGTCATGCGGCAGTCTTGTTCTCAAGAGATTCACACCTTAAGAATATATTCTTAACAATTCAGAGTCACAAATCATAAGTTCCCTGTCTCTTTATTTTTACAAAGCCACTCAAGTTTAAATTAGGCTGACTAAATTAGACTTTGATAAGATAGGATCTCCCTGGTTTTCAAGGATACAGCAAAATCCAGAAACACATTCCCTCGCCTGGTGTGATGCCTTTAAAATATGGAACGCTTATTTTCAGAGTTCCTATTTGGGGATGTGACTTGGCTATTTGTTACTGCCAGGTGGCTACCATGCTGGTGGGATTGCACCTAGACAAAAGCTCTTCTCCTCTCTTCGGATAATCATAGATTTAATAGAGTTGAGAAATTTGTTCTGAATCAAAGAAAGACGAAATCCGGCTTAAACCCAGGGAGCCCTACATGAGTTAATGACAACCAGAAGGTATTCATTTGCCATTGGTGCCAAACTAGTTGTCTGCCATGCACACAAAACAAGTGCGTGTTTAAAATCATACCATCACCAAAAATGTGCATGGATTAACACACTGAAGGAGATACATCTTCCCCAGTGAGACCAGAACTAACTCACATCCCCAGCTAATAAGGAAAGCCTTTTTATTTTTTTTAACGAAGGCAGTTACCAAGCAACAGAATAGACTAACTTGGACCTTCTTTCCTCTCCCAGCCACCACCCACCCACACAATGCTCATGGTAGGTAGGAACTGATAAACAGCCTAGTGACTGTGGGTGAGGCAGCAGACCACCAGGGCCCAGCACTCCTCACAGCAGAGAGCTGGGCAAATACCCAGTGCCTTTTCAAGGCATCAATTGGCCCTTCTGTGGCAGAGTTGGGGCAGGCATTGGTATGACCTTGGGAAGGAGGGGATGCCATAGGCCAGCCATCACCAGGGCATCCTTTCAGGTGGGGCTCCCAGAGAGCAGGGAAGTGCACAACCAGCCCCTATACTTTGGGCTGTTTTCATACATATTCAGCCAAATCCATCAGCCTTCATGACCATTTGGCCCACAGACAAGAGCAAGAGCAGAATTAGACCCTTTGGGCATTCTTGCCCTAAAGGACAACCTCATTTTGGCTACTAAGATGACATCAACACCTTACCTGAACCCTCACTGTCTACCCTGGCCCAGCAATTTACACATCTTGGTTATCAGTGGCATTTGGCAGCCAAGGTGACTTGCTTTGAGGAATGCAGTAGAGTCCATAGGCACCATTGAGCAAGGTCAGTGGACATGGAATTGATGAGGACATCTGGTCCACAGAAGCAGAGTGGGGAGACAGCAGGCAGGCACTTCCCTGGCAGCCTCACAGTATGAATGCCAGACTCTGTCTCCCCAAACAAGCTCAGCTGCCTGGCTGAGAAGTTCTTTGTACTTTGCACAGTTCACACACACACACACACACACACACACACCGATGTTTCTGTTACACACAAATGTCAGCGTGTGATTTTGGAAGAATTGACAGTGATGACAAATCTGATGCCTGTGTTTCTGAGTCTTTAAATAAAAATGAACATGGAGAGGTCTTGTGTCTGGATGATGGGAGCAGTGAGGTTGGGGCAGAAGCTGAGAGGGTCTGAGCAGAAATGCCCAAGTGGATAGAAGCATGACAGGGCAGGTGTCACCCTGTGTCCCCACTGGCCATCCCATTGGCTTACCCTCCACCACCTCAGAGTGCTTCCACGTGCAGAACACAGGGTGGTGGGAGACCAGGGATGTCCAGACAGCCATCTCCAACACATTCCAGAAATCCACTGGCTAGGCAGTAAGCATTGAGCCACAAGCTGGTGGGTGTGCAGACCTCTAACCCCCCCTCCAGTGGCTCATTTGCCTGGAAGGTAGAGTGACTTTCTGCAGATGACTCAACTTCCTATCTTGTGGGAAAACATTTTCTATCAGTGGTTACTCTAGTCCATCAATTCCAGAAGTGCCTGGAATTGGCCTCCAAGACCAGCATACTCATGGCCTTACCCTTGTCTGTTTGGCCCTCAGAATGCCCAAGCTGTGGGGAGCTGTTCCCTGAAGCACAAGGAGAAAAGTGTCTGGAATCCACCAGAAGGGGGGACTTCAGGAGGCCACTGACCTTCAGAAAAGTGGGCCTGTCCCATCAGCCAGACAGACCAATACTTGGCAGAGGGCTGCCCCACCAGCCTGAAACATTCCAGGGTGCTTCTTGAAATAGGCTTTCACTGACTTCTTAGCCAAGACACCCACCCATATTCTCTGACTATCACATACATACTTGAGCTGGAAGAAAGTTTAGCAAGGAGCCATTTTACTCTTCTGTAAAAATTAAATGAATGTATATACGCACAGGTTATGAGTGGGATGTACAGTGAGGGCCCAGCACTCTAATAAGGAAGTGTACTACGTGTTCACCTAACCCTCCAAGCTCTTTCACTCTCAGTGAAAGATACTCTTATCTTCATTTGCTAGATAAAAAATCAAGGTTAGAAGACGTGAAGTAAATTGCCTCAGGTCAGATAGCTTATGGAACACTATGACCCAGACTCAAGACTACTCTAACCCCAGAAGCTGGACCTTAAACCCTCTATACAAATAAAATGTCAAACATGAGAGCATGAGAAGAGGGGGCCAGAGTACATGTAGGCAGAGCCCACCACAATTTCCCAGGAAAGGGTGCCTGTCAGCAAAATGTGCAAATCTGTGGGGCAGAGATACCTTGACTATAGAGGTGAATGTGGCAACCTCTCAGGGCCTGGTGCCATTTTATTTTCAACATCTAACTTCTTTCCATGCTCACTAAGCAAACAAGACTAACTTCCCTTTGGTGGTCTAATACCCACAGGGAGAACAGTGTTCAAATCAAGAAAGTTCAACCACTGAGCCTGCAAAGTGGACATTTGTCGTCATCCACCAGTGAGCTGAACCTCCAGCTAAGGCCTCAGTCCCTGTGGATTTTATGATGAGTCACATCTCTGCCTTTAACTTACAAGGTGGCATATCTACACTGGGGGAGTTTTGGGTCTTCTTTCCTGGGAGGAAGCTCAAGGGCCAGCATTTATTTAAATGTCCACATGAAGAGCCATATTGGCTGCTGCTGGGCAAGTGATAGGGAGTGAGAGCAGCCAGCCTTCAGCAGAGCAGTTGGGACATCACATAACTGGCCGTTAATAAGATGGGCTAATCTGGGAGAGGTGCCCAAACAGAGTTGTGTGAAGATTCACAGGAGAGGAAGCCAAGTCCTTCAGAGGCCTCCCTGTGAATCTCTCCCTAAACTGTGCTTTATAGAGGGTGGGGGAGGCCAGGGCCTGGGGCCTTTCCAAATGAAGGGACTGACATACTATTCAAAATATTTTATTTACAACATCTCCTTGAGGTATGATCCTTATTCCCATTTCATAGATAAAGAAATCGAGACTCTAAGAAATTATATTATTAGCTCTGAGTTAATTGAGTGGCAGAGCCAGGACTTCTGACTTCCAATACTCTGGCTCTTTCTTGAATGCAGCAGAAATCCTAAAAATGACGATTGTAGCAGCCAACACTTACTCTACTGTCAGCTCTAACCTCCTTTAGAGGTGGGTGCTGCTTGTACTATTTATAGATGGAGAATCAGAGGCAACACAAGGCCTGATGCCTGGTCTGACACCACACAGTAGGATATTGGGGAGCTGTGGTTGACACAGACTGAATGCTGGGATGAGTCTGTGCTCAGTCCATAGGTGGGGGACCCACTGATGGTTATTAGCTGATGCGGCCTGCTCTGAACTGTGCCTAAAAGAGTACACTCTGGGTCCTTACTAGAAGTAAGGAAGGACTATAGCTTCTTTAGGTCCCTTCCAATGCTGAGATAAGTGCTTCTCCTCTTGCTCAGACCCGATGTGCAGAGGCTGGACACAGCCTCCCC